GTGAACTTTATTGATGGCATTCAAGAGAGTAGGGCTCCCTAAGCCCCTCCTGTTATTCTGGGGGTCTGGGATGGAAACTGAGGGAGATGCTCAGTGTCGGGGGCTGAGTTGGGACAGGAAGGGCTTCTTACTCCTTGGAGGCCATGGAGACCATGAGGTCCACCACCCTGTTGCTGTAGCCGAGTTCATTGTCATACCAGGAAATGAGCTTCACAAAGTTGTCATTGAGAGCAATGCCAGCTCCAGCATCTAAGGTGAAAGAGTGAGGGTCACTGTCAAAGTCACAGGAGACAACCTGGTCCTCAGTGTAGCCCAGGATGCCCTTTAGTGGGCCCTCCGACGCCTGCTTCACCAGTTTCTTGTTGTCATCATACTTGGCAGGTTTCTGCAGGCGGCATGTCAGATCCATGACAGACACATTGGGGATAGGAACATGGAAGGCCATACCCGTGAACTACCTGTTCAGCTCTGGGATGACCTTGCCCACAGCCTTGGCAGCACCGGTGGATGCAGGGATGATGTTCTGGGCAGCCCACGGCCATCACACCACAGCATCTCAGAGGGGCCATCCACAGTCTTCTGAGTGGCAGTGATGGCTTGGACTGTGGTCATGAGTCCTTCCACAATACCAAAGTTGTCATGAATGGCCTTGGCCAGGGGTTCTAGGCAGTTGGTGGTGCAGGAAGCATTGTTGACAATCTTGAGTGAGTTGTCATACTTCTCACGGTCCACACCTATCACAAACATGGGGGCTTCAGCAGAAGGGGCAGAGGTGATGACCCTTTTGGCCCCATTCTTCAAGTGGGCCTCAGCCTTCTCCATGGTGGTGAAGACACCAGTAGACTCCACAACATACTAGGCACCAGCATCACCCCAGTTGATGTGGGAGGGATCTCGCTCCTGGAAGATGGTGATAGCCTTCCTGTTGATGACAAGCTTCCCGTTTTCAGCCTTGACTGTGCCGTTGAACTTGGCATGGGTAGCGTGTGGTGGTATTGTGTTCCCCAAAATATTGTGTACCTTAATAAACTTATCTGGGGTCAGAGAACAGACAGCCACTAGATACAGAGGCCAGAAAATGGTGGCACTCACACCTTTAATCCTAGCATTCCAGAGACAGAAATCCTTGTGGATCTCTGTGAGTTCAAGGCCACATTGGAAATAACCAGGCATGGTGACTCACGCCTTTAATCCCAGAAAGCGAGCCTTTAATCCCAGGGAGTGGTGGTAGAAAGCAGAAAGGTTTATAAGGTGTGAGGACCAGAAACTAGAAGCATTTGGCTGGTTAAGCTTTCAGGCTTTGGAGCAACACAGTTCAGCTGAGATTCATTCTGGATGAGGACTCAGAGGCTTCCAGTCTGAGGAAACAGGACCAGCTGAGGAATTGGCAAGGTGAGGTAGTTGTGGCTTGTTCTGCTTCTCTGACCTTCCAGCATTCACCCCAATACCTGGCTCAGGTTTGATTTTATTAATAAGACCTTTTAAGATTCATGCTACAGTAGAGTCATACTGGAACAAGTAGACCATGTAGTTGAGGTCAATGAAGGGGTCATTGATAGCAACAATGTTCACTTTGCCAGACTGGAAGGCAGCCCTGGCAACCAGGCGTCCAAATACGGCCAAATCCGTTCACTCCGACATTCACCATTGTGTCTCAGGGATGAGGCTGGCACTGCACGAAAAGACACAGCTGTCTCTGGAACAGGGAGGAGCAGAAAGCCCAGAAGTTTTCTTGATGTGTGACATCTTCAATGTGTGCAGCAGTATGAAACCACTTCTTATTTTCATTGGAGCTGATGAACTTTCTAAGTCCTCTCTGTGTGTCTGTAAGTCCATCGCCCCCTGGTTTTGGCTGCATTTGTGTTTTCTCTAGTTCTTATGCCAGAATTGTGGGATTTTTTTCCCCTTTAATTTTCAGCGATCATTATGTATGGATCATTTCTCATTTTTTCAATAAATATTTATTTATTTTGGAGACAAAGTCTCATGTGTCTACGCTGTCCTTGAACATGTACTTGCTATGTAGCCAAGGACGACATTGAACTTCTTGATTCTCATGCTTCCACCTTCAGAGTACTGGGATTACAGATGTGCACAGCCACAGGCCATTTGTGTGGTGCTGAGAACTGGACCCAGTGCTTCAAGCATGCTAAGCAAGCACCCTACTGGCTGAGCTACATCCTGGGTCTCCTGATTAGTAGACAGACCTTGGCTTTGATTTCTTGCCAACATGAACTTTAATTTAGGCAGTTTAGCTTTAGATTTCTATTCATTTCTCTGTTTTTCTGTATTCTTCTCTCTCTGTGTGTCTGTCTCCCTCCCTCCATCCCCATCTCTGTCTCTGTGTCTCTGTCTCTGTCTCTCTCTCTTTCTCTCTCATCTCTCATTCTATTTTATCTAAGCTCTGTGTTGTCCATGGTATGGTAAAATACTATAACACAGAATTCATCACCTCTAAGTTTGTTCCTGTGATATGGAAAACGATGAAATGGCAAAGATATGAATCAAAAGTAATTCCCTAATAAAGTCAGAGACATGGTGAAAGTTTTCAGAAGACTGAGAGTGGCCACGAACCAGCAACGTCTTATCGAGTTGTGTCCTGTGTCCCGGAGGTGTCTTCTCTCACCCTCGGTCCTCTCTCTGCTTCCCTCAGGTACTGCCCTTTCATGCCTCAGCTGCCTGTCAACAGGAGGCTTAACTGGGGCCACTGATAGCAGGTCTGCTTGTCACATCCAGTCACTCGACTGCCATTTCTCTGATCCTTCCATTCAACAGTCTTTCTAATTCAGAGACATTTTAGAATTTTCAAGCTTCACACTATGCCACATTTAAAACCTCTGGTTTTATCTATTAATAACTTCTCTTCTTCTGTCATAAATGGGAAGGACAGTCTTTCATAAAGCAAGCTACCCGTGCTAGATAGTTTATGTCAACTTGACACAAGCTAGAGTCATCAGAGAGGACAGAGCCTCAATTCAGAAAATGCCTCTTGAAGACTGCTGTAGGCAAGCCTGTCAGGCATTTTCTTAATTGGTGATTAATGAGGAGGTCCCAGCTCATTGTGGGTGGGGCTGTGCCTGGGCTGGTGGTCCCAGGTTCTATAAGAAAACAGGCTGAGGAAGCCATGGGAAGCAAGCCAGTAAGCAGCACCCCTCCATGGCCTCTGCATCAGCTCCTGCCTCCAGGTTCCTGCCCCGTTTGAGTTCTTGTCCTGGCTTCTTTAAGTGATGGCCTATGAGGTAGAAGTGTAAGCCAAATAAACCCTTTTCTTCCCGACTTGCTTTGGTCATAGTGTTCATCACAGTAATAGGAACCCTGACTAAGATACTACCTCTTTCTTTTCAAAAATTGGCTTCCATTTTCACAGAACGTAAGGAGTTATTTAAAGATTTATTTATATTTAACTTGTGTGTATCTGTGTGTCAGTATGTACTATGTGTGCAGGGGCCCAAGGAAGCCAGATGTGGGCATCAGATCACCCAGAGCTAAGTTATATACAGGCTAGCTGTGAACTGCTCAGTAAAGGTGCTGAGAACTTGGGTCCTCTGGAAGAACAGCAAGCACTATGGACCACTGAGCCATCTCTCCAACCCCTACTGGAATTATTTAAAAGAGAAAGCAGTTAAAAATGTTTTTAACCAAGTGTGTGGCCTATATGCTACACACAGCTATGTAACACAGTCAGGGTTTCTTCTCAATGTAGTTTTACTGAAATTAGAGTAGTTGCAAACTATCTTCTAGAGAGTCATTTTTGTGAGGAGATTCGCAACTGTGATCAATAGAAACTGACCACTGTTACCTTGATTTAAGACTGATCATCAACAGGATTGTTGATGGAGATGGTGTTTCTGAATGCAGGTACCACAGGCTGGGAGGCTCCAGGGGCTGGCTTGGAATGGTGGATTTAGAGGACCAAGAATGAGGAGAAACAGCAACCATCCCTCGACCAAAAATACTTAGTGCACCTCTTGTCTCAGTTGCCATGGAAACCATCTCCACAAGGTTCTCTCCATTTTACATCACTCACTGAGAATTCATAGTCTCAGGAGAAAGAGCCTCGCTGGGTGGATTTAAGTCACACCTCTGACTCAGGTCTAACAGCAAAAAGGATCAGGGACACTTGTTTCCCCAAAGACAGTCGTGCTTTTACCACGAGCATGTGCAGTGAGGAAATCAGTGGACAGTGAATGATTGGAGCCACATAAAGGATCTACATTCTCTAATAAACTGGTGTCATGGATTGAACTGCTTCTTTGTTAAAACAGCATAGTACAGTAGAATCTAGGGAGAATGTCACAAACGTATCCATCCACCCATCCATCCATCAACCAAATAATGTCCATCTAGTACTTACTTGTCATGAAAAATAATCTAAATAGTAAGAATTTACAATAAGATACACAACAAAAAGGGTATAAGAGATTATCTGTTTTCTCTTTGCCTTTACGTTATCAATATCTATCTATCTATCTATCTATCTATCTATCTATCTATCTATCTATCGATCTGTCTTGAGATGCAGAAGAGAGGAGAGGAGAGAAGGACAAGAGAGCTGCTGGGGGAACAAACTAGGAGGTGGTGACCATTCTGTCAGCTGCAAGTGTGGGCGCTGTGGAAACTCCTCCAAAGTGCACTGCAAATCCTTTAGGGGATACCCTTTGTTTTCTCACTGCGAACACTCCCACCCAGCCTCTTGTCTATCAGGTAGAATTTTCTGCATACTGGATCAAACATCCAGAGAGGTGGAAAGGCCACATATTTTAATTATCCTCTCTTAAGCAATTTCCTTCCCTATCAAGTCCATTTTATGCATGCTGCTCACGGGTTTCAGTAGTAATAATGGTTCTTTTGTTTTTCAGGAGGGAATGTCAAAATTAAGAGAATTGTAAAACCATTCACCATCCATTATTTTTATAATTAGCAAGGGATGGACTGAGGGCAAGATCAAGCCTCTATATTTCTGACATCTTTTCTTCGGATTCTTTTTTTTTTTTTTGCAGATGACAAGAGAGATTTGGCTGCTTCTTGTCTCATCTGATAAGCTGACTATTGTCAGGCAGATGTCTTCATTAAGTCTGTGTAGGAAGACGAGAGCATCAAAGGGAAGGAGCACGCGTTTTCCTTCTGGAACTCTGCATAGGAATCACGTATTTCGTAGTATGATCTATGAGTAAGGTAGCTTGTTCTGCTTGTGTGTGGTGGTAATTGTTTGGGGATGAAAAACACCTGTGCCAAACATCTGTTGGGTCCTGGCATCTTCATTTTGTCATCTTGGAATATGCAACATTATGCCCTACTTCAGAAAGCAATAACAATTGAGGTATTGAGGTTGTAATGCTAAGCAGAGGGGAGTTTGGGAATTGCGTGAGATAATCAAAGATGGCGGAAACTGAAGAGAGCAAGAGCCTCAGCTGCATGTTTCCTGGCAAAGTCCTTCCTTCCCGTCAGCAGCAGCCATTTAATGTCAATCTTGAAAGGTAGATGAGATTAACGAAAAGTGAGTCCTTCGGACATTTACTATTCCTCCTTCTCCCAGCTGGAGGATCAAAATAGCCTCGCCCATCTCATGGCTAAGTTTGCGACTTTCATGTTTCTAAAAGCTTGTCAAGTGCCTCTTCGTGGGATTTAGTCCGATTTTGACTCTTTGGTGCTTTTCAAGTTGCTTCATATCCTTGCACAGGTCATATTCTAATTTCTCTTTAAGTAGCAAAGCACTTCAGCAGTTCCTGAGGCAGAGACTCTTACCTCAGCAGGCCAGAAAAAGTGGAGCCCAGCATGAGCTCATGAAGCATCAGGAGTGACCAACAGAGCAGACCCTGGAGACCAAACCAGAGAGGCAGCTGTTCTTCAAATTCTTGGTCTATTAGTTGACTTAAATATTCTGATAACGATGTTTGCTTGCTAGCTTGATTATTTCACTTACCTTCATCCAACTTTCTGTGTAGACAAGGGTACCGTCGAACTCCTGATCCTCCTGCCTCCCAAGATTTTTATCACCTTGTGCGACAAAACCCAGGGTTTAGTTTTTGGTGCTGGGGATCAAACTCAGGGCCTCAGAGATACAAAGAAAAAATGTCCTGCTAGTGAGCTGTATTCACAGCCTTCCCTTTTAAAAATAAAACTCAGTTTATTTTTATTATGTATATGTATGTGTGTCTCTGTGTGGGTATTTGAATGGGAGTGTGGGTGATTGGGAAGGCAAGAGGTACCAGATCCCTTGGAACTGGAGTTACAGGTTGTTTTCAGCTGCCCCATGTGGATGCTGGGAATTGAACTTAGGTCCTCTGCAAGAACAGTATGCCCTTTTAACCTGTGAGCCGTCTCTCCAGCCTCAGCCCTCACATTTTCGACAACAAACTTCAGGGGATGAAATAATGCCTCTGAAGCCTGATGATAATGCAGATGGGCATGGTAACAGCAACAACTACAGAATGTACTAAGTGGCCAGAGTTGAGAAAGCAGTACTTGCTCTCAATATCTCACCTGGTACCTCTCCCGTCTTGTGCCCTCTCCCTCCCTCTCTCTCTCTCTTTTTTTTTTCTTCAAGACAGGATTTCTCTGTGCAGCTTTGCACCTTTCCTGGAACTCGCTTTGTAGACCAGCCTGGCCTCGAACTCACAGAGATCCGCCTGCCTCTGCCTCCTGAGTGCTGGGATTAAAGGCGTGCGCCACCACCGCCCGGCTAGAGACAGAATCCAGGAACTTAGACATGCTGGCAAATGCTCTCAAACACACAAACAAAACAGACTAAAAGGGAGTCCGTCAGAGGAGCAGCAGCGTTTGCGTCTCCCTGACCCCTGATGATGGATACAATGTGACCAGCAGTCTTCCTGTTAGCCGGGCTGTGCCTCATCCTCTAAACCCCCAACTTACCCATGTTCCCTGTGATGGCTGTCGCTGGTCTTAAACCCAGAACCAAAACAAACCTCTCCATCTTCAATTATTATCTCTTATTTTGTCAGAGCTACAAGAGAAGTACCTAATAAGTATGTATGCTGTTGCAAAATTGTTAAATTTTAATCTTTTGGTTTACAACTTTTTCTGGGAAGGCACTCTATTATAGGGAGAGCTACATAGATTGTTTAATTAGTTACCATGTTCCACCCACAAGTCTAGAATCTATTGGTGATGATGGTTGTCCAAGTTATGATATCTACCATATGGAAGCTTTTCCACCCCCTGCTTTCTCCTCCCTCTTCCCTTTTCCCTTTCTCTCTTCCTCGTATGATTCATCTTAATACAAACTCATGGGCTATCCCCGTCAGTGTGTTTGTGTTTAATACTTTTCTCTTCCGAGCATATACCCACATTTGACCACGCTGGCGTCTGGGTTCTGTTGACGACCATGTTGGTTTGGAACCACTCCTGACTCTCTGCCTCAGATGTTCCAGGTTCATCTACGCTTTCTAAATTGTGGCTAGAGTGGGCCATTGCCCAAGAGCTTAGCTCATGTTACCTAGGCTACTGCATTCAGAGGCTTAAACTTTGATGGGTTTTCATTGCTACTGGGTAGATTCTGTCTGGTAGTTCCTGGGGTGTGCATACACTTTCATCCCTTCCTTATTTCATCATCTCTCTTGCTCATTCACAATAAATATTAAAAGCCGCATATTCAATATTTAACTACAGTCCATTGTCTAAAGAATGCAGGCATGATGTCAAAAATACCTTGTTCATAAATTACTTGGATCACCTCTTTCTGCCTTCACACCCTCTGGTGTGCTTATGTTATCCTTTTGAAATGCAATAAGGTTCATTTGTTTTAGATCGTATTCCCTTGACGGGATAAAATATATTCATTGTTATTTTATGACTGTTAAAACATTGACACGGTTCAGAAGTCCAAGTGATAAAAGTGAGAAAATAGCACTGCTCCCAACTTTTCCCTCTCACTTCTACCTCAAAAAGATCTTGCAGAAGTTTAAAGTGACCATGCTCTCTTTTGTTTCAAACTCTGTAATTACTTCCTTCCCCAATCCCCTGCATGATCTGACCTGCCTAATTTCCAGTTTCCTCCTGTGCAGGGCCCCTCCCTGCTCCCTCTGTTCCAACCACACACATTTCCTTAGTCCTTTGAATAAGTGATGTTTCTTGCTTTCTAAGACTTTCTCACACACTCTACCCCATCTCAGTCTATTTCCTATAGCAATATAAGACACTTGAGATTAGATAATGTGTACAGAATGGAGCTGTTGCTGTGGGTGTGAGCATTTCAACCCAAAGATGGGTTCGTAGCACGAACATCAGGAGGCTCAGAACCACTTGTATATCTAACCAGTTCCAAGGGATCTGATGCCTTCTTCTGGCCTCTGATGACACTGCACACACATGCATATACACCCACATAGACAACATACATATACATTATTAAAAATGATAAACATAAATAAATAAGACCAGAGCTGGGCATGGTGTTTCCTCATAGTTGTAACTATTTGGGAGTCTGAGGCAGGAGGATGTCTCAGGAGTTTGAGAATAGCTTGGATAATACACTGAGACACCCCTCCCCCCATAATCAATCAATCAATTAATTATTCTTTAAAAATGGAGGTTTAGTTAGCTCATGGTTTTAGAGGTTGGGAAGTTCAATATCATGGTGCTAGTATTTGGTGAAAGTCTTCATGCTATATTATAATATAGTATTATAATAGATACCACATTTAATACATATTGGTATAATACATACACCACATGATGGGATAGGATAACAAACTAGAGAGAACTTGCTTTTATGATAAAGCCACTCCTGAGTAACCCACTAATCCATTCATGAGGACTGCTGTTCTGACCCAGACACTTGCCAATAGTCCCATCTCCAAATACCATTAACATACTAATTTAGACCTTAAGTTTTCAATCCTTGAAATCTGGGGGACGCATTGAAGCTATATCAACTGTCAGGCTGTAATAATTGGCTTTCTTTCATCCTTCCTTCCTTCCTTCCTTCCTTCCTTCCTTCCTTCCTTCCTTTCCTCCTTCGTTTCTTTCTTTCTCCTTTTCTTTTCTTTTTTTTTTCTTTTTTTTTTTTTTTTGCCATGTGGATAATAACTCATATTCCAGACCCCAGACAGTCATCATGTTCTCAGGGAAGGCTTTCCTGTCTCCCTTCTTCCTGCCCCTGTAAACACAAACTGTATCAGGTCTCCTACTATTGTGTCCTCAGATTTCCTTCATTACTCTGACCACAGCTTCACATTGTAATGTTGGTTTCATTATTTCAATCATTGTTATCTGGTCCATCAAGGTACAGTTTTGTTGATTGTTTTTTACTCTTTTGCTCTTTTGGGGGGCCTGCCACCCAGCTCCCAAATAAACACACGAAGGCTTATTCTTTCTTATGAATGCCTGGCCTTAGCTTGGCTTGTTTCTTGCCAGCTTTTCTCAACTTATATTATCCCTTCTACCTTTTGCCTCTGGGCTTTTACCTTTCACTGCTTCTTACTCTGTGTGGCTGTGTGGCTGTGTGGTTGGCCCCTGGCATCCTCCCCTCCTTCTCTTCTTGCTTCTTGATCTTTCCTTCCCCAATTTCTCCTCCTATTTATTCTTTCTGCCTGCTAATCCCATCTATTTCTCTCTCTCTTCCCAGCTATTGGCTGTTCAGCTCTTTATTAGGCCAATCAGATGTTTTAGACAGGCAAAGTAACACAGCTTCACAGAGTTAAATAAATGCAACATAAAAGAATGCAACACGTGGTGGTGCATGCCTTTAATCCCAGCAGTCAGGAGGCAAAGTCAGGCAGATCTCTGTGAGTTCGAGGCCAGCATGGTCTACAGAGTGAGACCCAGGACAAGCACCAAAACTACACAGAGAAACCCTGTCTCAAACCCCCACCAAACAGCAACAACAACAACAAAAAGAATGCAATACAACTTTGCATCATTAAAACAAATGTTCCACAGCATAAACAAATATGACACATCTTAAAATAATATTCCACAACAGTACAGATTCTATGCATAGCAAATATTTGCCAAATTAGTGAATGAAGAATTGGAACAACTGTGATGTTTATAGTTTTGGGAAATAGATAACTTCTTTTGAAAACTTTTAAGGGTATGTGTGTTGTTCACATGTGTATGATGTGTGCGTGTGTGTGTGTGTGTGTGTGTGTGTGTGTGTGTGTGTACATGCATGCCATGGTGTACATGTGGTGGTCAGAGGATAACTTAGAGGA